ACCTTAATGATTCTATGATTCTATAAACCCCAATCTTTGTTAAAGAGGTTTGCTCTCTCACTAAAGTTCGTATTGGAGAACTTGCCAGTGCCCAGGAGCGGAGAGCAGAATAACTTCTGGGTGGATAAATGTAAGAATTTAACCCTGACCATAAAACGACGATAGCATGTCATCTGCTACTTAATCTGCTTTTGTTTTGGTTGGGACATCTTTCCTTGATCTGGCTCACCGCATGGTGGCAGAAGTGATGTGGGAGGGAGGAGGGGGACCACCCCTGCAGTGGCTGGGTGGCTTTGTGCTGGGTAGACATGGCAGCAGAGAGGTGGCTTCAGGGTGCTGGAGGCAGCAGAGTGGGCAGGTGGGAATGAGCATGGTCTTCCCTTTCCACCGGTGTGCAGCTTTAGGGGGGCTGACTTAGTGATGGTGGGTGAGATGCCTTTTAAAAAAAAAATCCTGTAGGTATAAAGAGCAGTCGTGATCCAGGATGGCCCTACAGGTGCAGTCACACAAGCTGGGTTAGGAAGTGGAAATGAAGCATGTGAGATCTGCAGTGGCACTTGAAGGATCACAAAAGATGATGGGAACTTTGGTCAAGGCGCAGTTCTGCTTGTGTGGGTTTTTCCCTCTCTATCTTGGTGCAATTCCTTTTACAGCCAAATATGTGTTCCCTCGGAGCCCTTTGGACTTGATTGTTATTCTTTCTCTGTGTGACAAAGAAGGTGGATTTACTCTGAAGAAATATTTCCATGGCATCCACTTAGAAAATTGTTCCTATGTCCTTCTGTTACAACCTTTTTTTTTCTATTTTGTTTTATAGACACAGATGAGGACACAGTGAAAAGGTGTTTTGCCACGTTTGAAGAGAAGTTCTTCCAAACCTGTGAGAAAGAACTTGCCAAAATCAACATTTTCTATTCAGGTAAGGTGCTTATTTGTGTATATTTGTGGAAAATACAGCAATACAAAAAGAGTCTGAAGCTCTGAAACTTTCAGAATAACCACAGTGGTCATGCAGGTCTACCATCAGGTAATTACAGGGCAGGTTTATATGGGAAACTGCTCTGGTTTAATCACAGACGTGGAGCTAAACCATGGTATTTGAATGAAGGGAGAACAAAGGGCAGGTGATTTCACTGCTTTGCAATAGCATCTCTTTATGAAAATGCTCTTAAACTTAAGTGGCAGCTTACATATAGGGCACAGTTTCTCAGCTTATTCATGGTGACAGTCTCCTGTGCATGTTTTAGGCGAGCTAAGCTACCTGGCTGGTGTTTCCTGAGCTTGTGCAGGAATAGCTATCATGGACTTGCCTGTGTATGGTAACTTGACCATCTTGATGTGTCCAACAAGTTTTTAAGCACTTAACTCTTACTTGAACTCTTGCAACTTTCTGGAGTAGATCAGCCAGTAGCAATTTTTCATTGGCTGTGTATAAAATCCTGTTTAGTAAATTGAGTAAAAAATGTAATGGTGGTAAGAGTAGGGATTCCTTAGGGGTCATATGTCAAAGTGCCGTTTTTTGTTGTTTTCCCTGAGAAAGTTTGCTTTCCCACCCTGTGTTTTGGAAATAAACTTTAGAATGGGATAATCAGAAATTCACCCTGTAATATTGCTACAAAAGGCTTAGTAGTAGTGTGCTCCAGTTCCACCCACCATTACACTTCAGCTGGTTTTCAGCTTCTTTTGATAAGGTTTAAAATGGGTTTTCAACTAGAAAAGCATTTAAATATGGATACAATGATGCATTGACTTCTGCCATACTTTCTCTTAACATGTTGATTTATTAACTTGGTGCTATAAACAAGCTTTTGCAGCACAATATGGTAGCCTTTTCTATTTCTGATTTTAATCTGGTAACAGAGACAAAGTTGAATTGTGCAAAATACTTTAATAACCATCAGGCGATGACTTTATTGCTAGCTATTTTATTGTTAGCAGAATCTGGGTTGTGAACGTGAGAATAGCTGAAAGCGTAATAGATGCAATAACTGCACACTGCGGCTTGCCTCTGTTCAGCTTCCATCTAGGGAAGTAAAGCTCTCTTGGGCTGGCTGTGCCTGCTCTTCTGGCTCCCTGGAGTAGTAGTGTTTTGCTATAGCCAGAGTGGGTGTCAGGATAGGGGCAAGGGGCAGTCTGTAGGTAGAAGCGTAGTAGTAGTAATAGTTTTGTTAGGCGAGCCAGGTTTTACACTTTATAGGCGTTTTTCTACATGCAATTCGTAAGTACCTAACTCAGAAAAATTGTTCTTGGTTTTGTTTCCCTGTGAGATCTTCTGTTTCTCTCCCAGGTCTGAGGCAAGGCTTTTATGCTCAGAAACTTGTCTTACTTTTCTAGTTATATCAGATCCTGTGTATTACGACCTAGACTCTGTGGAGGAAGTTCTGTCAATTCAGATGCACAACACAGATTATAATTTTCCCTAATGAGGACCTGCTAGCACACGTGCACCCGTTCCAGCATTGTTTAAAGTGGCATTAATAATACAGGGTAGGGTTTTTTCAACTTGCTGTCATTTCAAAAAATTATAGGAGAGAATACATGTAATTTGAAAATCTCTTGTGATAAGATTAAAATAAGTCTTTTATTTGCAAAAGAGCGACGTGACTTTAATAATATGGAAACCCTTTATTAGGGTTATTAAGGTTAAGCTACATCAAGAAATGTTCCATCAGTGGTTCCTCTTCTTGATCATGTCAGAAATATGTCACATCGGACCCTATTGTAACTCCAGGCGTGTGTTGGCTTGGATTATGACCTGGTACATCCTATTTATTATAGGCTTATTATATGGCTTATTACACGCTTGTCTTTACAACAATAAATATTGTCCATTTTCAAGAAAGCTACGCTTTCTGTTGATCTCTGCTTCATTTCCTCGTTGTCTTTCCCTGTGCTGAGGGATCCTCAGTGAGCATTGCCAGGGATTGCCACAGCATGGACAACCCTGTCCTCTGGGGATGGGCTGCTCCCAGATCCCAGCTCCTCCCTGGAGCACTGGGGGTTGGAGTGCCTTTGCCTTTCGCTGTGCACTCAGATCGTCGGCTCTCATCAAACATAGCCTTAATTCCCCAGCCCATTATCCCAGCTCTGTAGGAAGAAAAACTGCCATTAACCAAATCTGATTTCATAAACAGTTTGTGATTATTTGGACTACGCTCAAGAAAATCTATACTCAATTGCAAGAAAAAAGAATAGCAGTAAAATTTTCAGATGGTTCCAGTAGAGAAATGCCTGTTCAAGTGCTAAAGTTTTATTTGTGGCCAGTTTTGGTTTGTGTTTGGGATTTTTCTAGAGGGGAGGTTTGTTATATTTTAAATTAGCGTCATCACGATCTGCTTGGGCTACTGTTTAGCTAGTAACATTTTTGTGGTTAATTTAGGAGCTGGTTTTATTATTTGTAGGAAGCCGCGGCTTTAACTTGGTAAGCAAAGTATTGAACATCGTACGTACAAGTAGGAAAAGAAATGAGTGCTAAAAGAGCCTGCTAAAATGCCCAGAGCCCTGAGCCGGGTAGCTGCAAGGAGGCATGGGCTGTTCGATTACCTCCTGTCTGGTGAAACAGGTTTTGATCACAACCGTGACCATGTAAACTGCGATTTGGGAGGAAATTTTACTAGCTCCGTGGTGTGATATTTTTTTTTTTTCCCATGATGCTTATGTGTGAACTTTTCTTTAAACTTGGAAAATGGAGTCAAAAACAACTTGGAATTGCATAGTTGAGGTGATAACCCTTTAGAGAGTGGTTTTTAGTCAGGATCTAGAAGCATTTTTTGGGCAAAGCTGCTGCTTTATTGCAAGCGCTTTTGTTGAAGTCTGCCTCTCTTGGTTTTAGATTTCTCCTTAGTCTTTGCTGTGAGATTACACTTGAGCTGAGGACTCAGTGGGCATCAGGTCATGCAAAAGCCTGCAACACAGCAAGAGTGGTTCCAATTTCTAAGCGTATGCTGCTTTTTTCTAACTCTTTTGAGTGGCATATTTTTTTAAAAGTCACTTTTCAGAGTGCTAAATTAGTGATAGTGGTGAATGTCTTTTCAGTGATTTTGGAGTACGTTGCAAACTGAGAAATTAATTTCTACTGTGCTTTGCCATTTCCCTAGGCAATTCCCTAGGAAGTTTTAAGAATAGCAGCACATGTTTTGTCTTATTTTGCTTCTGCAATGAATCTTGATGATAAAATCATACCTTAACAAGATGAAATGATTTGTGGACTGCATAACTGGAGTCAGTGCAAGAGGCAAGAGAGAGGGCAGGAGGGAGAAGAAGGTGGCAGGACTGCCGTTTCTCAGGAGCAGCAGGTCATCGTAGGACTGGGTCAGTTGCCTTTAAAGCCTCATCTTCAGAGGACTGCGGTCCTCCCCTGTGGATGGAGAGGGCTGTATAGAAGACAGCATATGACTCTTTTCAGCAGTGCATAATTAAGAAGAATGTTTGATTTGGGGATGATGCTTTTTTATGGATGTTGCTTTGCAAACAGATGGGAAAATTGCAGCAGCAGTTTTATAACTGTTTCAAAGCATTGTCTTTTCTTTAAATACTGTGTTATTAGGCTGATGGATTTTAAGATTTTTCTGTACACAGGGACAATGGAACTGTGCTTTCAATTGAAAGATGTAAATTCAAATTCTTCCATATTTAATAATTTGATCCAAAAGAAATCTGTGTATCACAGATAGTTTAATAGGTTGTTTTGAATATAGAGAATGAACTTGTGAGTTTTATTTATACGAACGCTTTTGATTCTAACAGCTACTCTACCAGATATCTGTTACTTCTTCCCGAGAGAGTTCCCAAAGTGGGGAGAGATTATTGTTTTTGCAGTCTGACCTTGTGTGTGTTAAATATTATGTGGTTGTAAGCTGTGGGCAGACAATTCTCACTGTGGGCTGCATTGCCTCTGTTCGGTGGAGTCCTTGCAGCTGTAGAAGTTGTCAGAGAGGAGTTGTCCTTTCCCGTCTTTTTAAAACCTCTTACTTTAATAGAGTTTATAATCAAGAAAGTTACAGAGAGTTTCAGGCTCTTCTGTACTTGATTTTTCTATCTTGATCTCTGTTTCCTGTTCGGAAAGGCATTCTCCTTCTGGAAAATATTTTATACAGAGCACTGTAAAATTATTTACAGAGGAGTTTTGCTCTTAAAATTAACCAGAATTGAATAAGACTGAGGAAAAGGTCAGAATTGCTCCCGTAAGAGTAAATCTTACTTACGGGGCGGAGGGGAAGCAATTGAGAATTACCATTAAGTTGTTGCGTAAGATACTAATGAAGAGAATTAAATTGACAGCCAGGAGACTGGAGGGACCTTGGGGCTCCGTGGTTTCTGGTGCAGTGGTGTGTGTCCCGCTGGGTGGAGGTGGCTCTAGCTCCCAGCCGTCTGCTCCAACGCTGAGAACCTGCGCTGTGTCCTCCTGGCCAGCGCCAGCACCAGCACCCATGGTCTGCCATGGTGCTTATCAACAGAGGCCAAAGCTGTGACTGAAGCCGTAGCGGGAGGAAAAGCTTGGAAGGAACTAGTTGTACAGAACAAAGAGAAAGATAATGGTGTCAGTTACGCTGTTTTTAGCATAAAAAGATTGTTATTTAGCCAAAAAGATTATTTTCTGAAAGTACATAAAGCAGCATGTTTAAAGGAACACCTTTTTCATACTTGAGATGTGAGGAAGAGAGACTGACTTGTTCTGAAAACACATCAAAATGATATTTAAATTCAGGTTGACTTTCCCTTTAATCAGTAAATAATGAGGCAATGCTTCTAACCTGCGTGAGCCTAAACTGAGGAAAAGAGGAATAAATTATTACAGCGGATCATGTACAGCAGCAAGTAGTGTTGTAACTCCTGATCAAAGCAGAAGCTGTGTTTGTCTGTCACCGGGAGCTTGGCAGAGGGGTTGCGTTGCTCTCTGAGCAACAAAATTCAGTGTCACATTTGAAGTGTGGTTTCTTTTTTTTCCTTTGATTTCCATACTGACATATAAAAAGATAGTAAACACGTAGTCAGTAGTGGGTGCACAGATCTGAAAAGCGCTTTGCTTACTAACTGTCAAGTTTCATAATATTATCTAACAGGGGTTTTTTCTAACGCTTTTTGTGCATTTGCTTTATTGGAGAAAGGCGAGCAGCTTTCCTTTGCGCGCAGAGTAGACGTGTGGTCACTGCTTTGGTATTTGGATGAGACCCTATCTGCCTGGCTGCCTCCAGCTACAGCTCTGCCAGCGTGGGGAGGCCTGACCCTGCGTCCCTGTGCTGGTTTATAGTCCCTAGGTACAGGCGGCAGCTGCGCAGGTTGGGCTTCTTCCATCTGTAACAAATATTCGTACGCTCCTGGAACGAGCACTCTCTAGAAATCAGATCGGGGGTGGAAGTCGAGAGGTCTGAGTTCATGTCTAATGCTGCTTCAGTCTGTGCTGAAGGGACAGCCCCTTGATTTTGACTATATTAATTAAGACCTGTCTGACATGACGGCTTTTTTTTTGGAGAACATGTATGTTTTGCATAGGAGTGCATTAAAACCTTTAACGAGAAGGAGCTTCATAAAAGAGAAATATGCAGAGTTGTTGAATGTAATGCTTAGTTGGGGAAGGCCATGCAGTAGGTTATTCAATGCAGTGCTTTTTACCTACAGGCACATTATTTGAGGAAAAGGTATAGTGCTTTTTACGGGCTCAGTAGGCAAGTTGCTATCCTCTCATCTGACTTTTCCCTTTCCTTTCTAACAGAAAAGCTTGCAGAAGCTCAGCGCAGGTTTACTACTCTTCGGACTGAGTTACAGTCAACTTTGGATGCACAGAAAGAAGCCAGTGGGGCTTCCACGCTGCAGCGGCGCAGAAAGCCGGTCTTCCACCTGTCCCATGAAGAGCGTGTCCAGCATAGGAATATCAAAGATCTGAAATTGGCCTTCAGCGAGCTCTACCTCAGCTTCATCTTACTGCAGAACTATCAGGTACCCGCAAAAAGAGGTGGTTTTACAAAGCCCTGTGTGTAAATGTCTCTGCGCTTTGTGTATCCTCGAGTTGCCTTATTCAAGCCAATTTTTTATTTCTTTTTTTATTTTGGGGTCCCTAAACATTTTTAAAGAAAAGGCAGATGCCTAGCAGCTAGCAGCATACGTCGTCTTGTTTTTTTGTTGAGCTGGAAATGCTAAGCTGACCTGCAGAAGGACTTCCCTTCTTCTTCCTTTTCTGGGCTGGCTGACCCCAGCACCCTTGGCCCAGGCACGGTCAGGACACAGAGTCACATCGGGGCCTCCTTCTTCTGTGGTGTGTTGTTCTGTGCAGGGCTGGAGCTGGCAAGTTGGGGAAGAAGCTCTTTTATCTAATATTTGTAATGAAAACTTGAAATACTAACGTACTGTTTCCTCTTGGCGTTACCATGGTAGTGACTGTGACCTTGCTATCTCAGAATTTCTTGTTAAAACATCCATTTAAAAAAAACAAATGTTTTTAATTCTGTAGGATACAGGCTCGTTTGTCTTGAAGTATGAAAAAACAAATCTTTAGTTGTACTTGGATTTCTGTCCTGAAAGGGCATGGTAAATATTGCGGATGCTGATTTCATTCCAAAAATCCTGACACTGTTAAGATCTTTTTTTGCTAGGCTAGCTCTTTTGGTGTTAAATACTCCAAAATGCTTTTAAATGTCTTATTGTGGGGGTTTTTAGCTTATTAAATAAGAATGTTTGAACTCAAATTCTTTAACTTAAATTTGCTACATCTATATTTAGATCTTTACCAGCGTTGTACTGGAGAATTTTATTAAACAAAATTCACTGTAAGAATTACTTGAATACCACTCTGCAGTATGGACAAAAACTTAATTTTTCCAAAATTCTGAGTGTTTGTACCTCTCCTAAAATGATATTATGTCCTTGAGCACATGCGCATATGCTGCCAGCACTTACTCCAGGTGCCTCAATTGCAATTACCTTGCTTTAATACTGGGTTTCCAGGTTGGAAAATCATGGTCCAACTTGTACTGGAAAAAGCATCAGACTGCCTTCAAGGGAAGCTCTCGAGGATGTGTTCAGACCACTTCTTAAGAACATTATAACTACTTATTTTCATTGGTTGAAGAGAGACCCCTCCGTGAGTCCTGAACACAGGTTTTATAGTTGCATAAACTATTTATGGCTTTCTCAATAGGGTCCTTTAACTACTAGTGATAGTTTCTGGCCTTCAAAATCCTGGGAAAGGTAGAGTATCCTTTGCTTTTCAGGTATGGAGTGAAGCAGTATTACCTGCTGTGATTTCTTCACTCTCTTAAAAAAAGAAAGCTTTTACTGTTGCTTACAAAAATCATTTCTGAGGCTTGATGAAGAATTTAAATAGGGGATGACATAGGTCATTCCGTTGAAAAATCTTTTCCTGCCCTGCATCAGTGATGAAAGGCATCTTGCACGCTTACATTTTTGCTTTTTGCTACTACGAATCCAGGTCCTTTGTATGTATACTAAATATTGATGTAAAACCCATCTGGATTTGATAGCTTTCACAGTTTCCAAAAGAAGCAGAGCTTCTTTCTACAATGTAACTTCAAAGAGAGAATGAGAAAAATTAGTTCAAATTGGTTTTGAAGTTGAGGACATGGAATACAAGTACTAAAACAAACATAAACCCAAATCCCAGAGTCCTACTCTTAATCACTTCTGAACTTAGAATATAAGAACTGGAGTATTCAGGGTCTTGCAGTTTTGGAACGGAAAAACGTTAACCTGGTGGGAGGATGACATAGCTGAGGCCTTCGTGGAGGAGATAAAGTGAAGTCATCAGCAAATTCCTTAGTCTGCTAGGACTGAAGCAAGAGCAAAAGTTGCAGGCATTCATTCCTAAGGTACACAAACCAAACATCAAGTGAAACTATAACTTGTCTCCAGGGCAGCTGTTACTTTTTTTAACTTACCAATGATTAAACTTCTGATAAAATTAATTTATTGTTAACAGTAGTATAATTCTAGAGTATGTACATATATCAATAAATCTATTTATTTGAAATATTGTGTTTTAGAACAAACAAATCTTGAGAAATTAAGTATATAGTATATACTTGTATAATATAGTACACTTGCGGGGCAAATAATGGAGGCTGAATCATTCTTATTAAATTGCTGTGCATTTGCCTTGCTGGTGCATTTCCCAATATGTTTCTATATGAGCAAAGACTTTTGAGTCCACTGTTTGATCCTGCTTGATCTTGCATAATGTTATTGGGTAAGTTGCACTGTTTGGTTTTTTTCACTTTTAATGACAAAACATACCATTAGTTGGTTCACTTCAATGGATTCGATTAATATCCAGCAGAAATGGAAGTCAGGCTTGGAGAAAGCCCCTTGCCAAATAAAAGCATCACAAATAGAAAGAAATACAAGACTTCTGACTGCATAAACGATGTTTGACTGTTTTGTTTCACAGTTTCATCACTGTGCGTTCCTTGTCAGAAGTACCACTGTAACCAATAGTGTTTTTATCATGCACTTTGGGGTTGCGGAATTTTTGCAGCTAGAGGATGGAAGGCCATTGGAGAGGTTCTAGGGTGTCTGGTGTAACTGTGACCGACCTGCCAAGGCACACCAGAGTTAGGCTGTGATTGCACACGTGGCAGATAAAGCGACGTTAGTTCAGGTTACAGAAAAATCTCTGGCCAAAGTCATCGTTTTGTTGCATCCTTTTAATTTCAAATTTCTGAAATAGTGATCTGCTCTCCCTGGGGTGGAATGCTGGCTTTTCCAATAGAAAGTAATTAAAGTCTCTTGTCTGCAATAATGCAGATCGTTAATGCATTGGCTTCCTGCTCCTGTCTCCCTAGCCTCATTTCCCCACCTAAACGGTAGGGGTCTGGTATTAAATCACTCTAAGCATAATTAGATTGAAAATAATTTCAGTGAGTAGTTGGCGCCTCTGCCCAGGGCATTGGATTTTGCCGTTTTCTCTGTTTTCCTTTCCAAGCTACTTTCTAAGCTTTTTAAGAAGTGAGTCTTGCCATGGTCTGTCTGTGTTCCTGCTGTTGCTTGAATGAGACGTTGAGTCTTTTGAGTGGTGTTTTCTGTATAATGAAATGCGGGATTTCAGATGCATCTTGTCACAGCAGTTGCCTGCAGTGTGATGAGCTTTGCCTATCTTAGTTACTGTGCATTAGAAGTGTTGGGTCAGGACTCATATAAAACTTGGAAATCAACCGTTATTTCGTGTTTTAATGCAGCACTGTGTGCTTGACAGACTAGAGAGTTACATCTCCCACGTTTGCAAGCCTAAACTAGTTTTGCAGTGATTGTGCAATGTACTCAGTGGCAAAGGATGCTGTTATGGAGATGCACTTGTCTGGATTTAATCTGCAGCATTTAAAACTTTCACAAATTTTCTGTTGTACAAGGATTTCCCTTCTATAATGCATTTATCTGGAAAACTTGATTTGAAAACAATGTAAGGTTTAAAGAAACTGGAAATCAGTAGCCTAGTTTCGGAAGGGAAAACATCTTGAAGGATTGGCAATGACTGTGGGAGTTGGGACAAACACAGTCTTTCTGCAGCTTTATGTTTTTGTTAAGAGCTCATTACAACTACCACTAATTCAGAGACCAGTTGCCAAGTTGCAGTACCTGGGACGTATGCAGTAAGGTGTACCCAGGCAGAGGGAGCGTGTCTTGAAATAACTTTAAGCATACAAGTTTTGAGTATGTCCAAAGGTTATTTATCTTCAGTGAGGTTTCATCAGGAACGTCGTCGCTTCCTGCATTAAGGAGGAAGGTGGCAGTGATTTGACTTTTCAGGGAATATGAGGTTTAGGTAGTTCCCTGCAAATGAGTTGCCTCTTTTTATGCCCTTGAGTCCCACATTTTTTCTGTTATTTGCAAGGGATATGTATTACTTCTAATAAAGTAACAACTCAAAAACTTCCTGGCGATAGATGCAATAATTTTGATTCTTCTTACGAACTATTCCTTTTTTGCTAGTGCTGGAAATAGAACCATTTAACCTTCTTGGGAGCTGACTGAGGTTAAAAGCCGGTAACTGTTTTCCTTCATCTGCAGAACCTGAACTTCACCGGCTTCCGCAAGATCTTAAAGAAGCATGACAAGAACCTGGAGACGACGCGGGGGGCAGAATGGCGGGTGGCCGAGGTGGAGGTGGCACCCTTCTACACCTGCAAGAAGATCAACCAGCTTATCTCTGAAACAGAGGTAAAGATGCTAGTCTGGGCGCTGCTCTTCTTTTAACTAGAAAACAATGTTTTCTTGTTCATTACTGATTCCTATAATGTTTTGCCTTCTCTATAGCTTGTATTCACCACCAGGGCAACTATTAATTGATTTTGAAATGCCACTGATTTCTGTCACTGCTTACATAAATTTGGGTATGTTCTCTTCAGCTGGTAACTTTTCACTCTGAAAAGCTCACGCAGTGTTAGCTTGTGTTGTGTAGTAACTTGATGCAGCGTGGTGAGCTTTTCATGTCTTTGTTACTGTGTATTAGAAGCGTATTGGGCCAGGGCTCATATGTAACTTGGAAATCAACCGCTTTTTTTTTTTACTGTTGTTTTAATGCAGTACCATGTGCTTATCATTAGAATGAACTTCTGTAATGTATATCTTTATCTCCTTAGGAAGTGGTGACCAGTGAGTTAGAAGATGGAGACAGACAGAAGGCTATGAAACGTTTGCGTGTTCCACCCTTGGGAGCAGCTCAGGTGAGAGATCGAGTTATATAGCAAAGCTGCTTCTCCAGCTTTGCCAAATTAGATTCAACATTTGAACAAAGTAGTGAAAATAATTGATGTGAGCATGCTCGCAAACTGGGGGGGGGGGGCCTGGTCACATAATCTGCTTTATTTCCGGAAGATTTGGAAATAGCTTACTTACTATTCCTAATGCATGCAGACAAGGTAATGAAGGGATGAGATAAATAGTAAAAGGAAATTTGTGCTAATAACATATGCTTAGTGTTTGTGTGGTCTGGAATATTTTTCAAAGGGCGTTGAGATGTCCAAGCTCTGTTTCAACACAGCAACAACATAGGCAAGAATATTATGCAGCATTTTCAGTTTTAAAAAAAAGAGCAAGAGTGCGATCAGAGACCAGAACGTTGCATCCCTGATCTTAAATTTACTCTGCAAATTAATCTGACTTTGCTGATTACCTATTTACTCCGCCTTAATTCCACCATTGCTTTGTTCACAGCCTGTACCAGCCTGGACTACATTCAGGGTTGGATTGTTCTGTGGGTTGTTCATTGCACTGAACGTCACTGTCATACTTTCAGGTGGGTATCCTTGACTGGACCCGGCTGGCTCCCGTACCTCAGTTTGGATATGTTCTCATCACTTAGTGAGGGCTGGATCTGAACTGGGTTGGTCAGGATGTTCTGGGTTAAATCAGTCTGAGTCAGATCACGCTGTTGTGAATTACTAGTTCTGCTCAGTAACAGGTTGTGGGTTTTCTCATGTTATATACGTGGATTTTGGACTTTGAACATATTATGGTTTGTTCTCCTGGTTTCCTCTTTACTCTTGGAGGGATATTCTGGAGGTGCAACATCCATGTATAAAAACAGATTTCTGCTACTGTTCTTGAATGCACAGCCCTCTCCCACCTTGAGGGAGGTGCTCGTAGAACTTAAGTTTTGCATGGTACTGACTCCCTATAGCGAATGAGACCAGACATAGAGCCATGTGAGCACCATGCCACTCAGGACATTTTCATGTTGAAATTTCTAGGATTTCAATGCCTCGTGCCTATTAATGGAATTAATTGAATTTTTCTTGTTGGCAGATTTTGGCAAGATTGTTTAAAAGCTACAATAAATTATTGCATATCTCAGGCCTTGGTTTTATTCTGCTTTGCGCCTTCCGAGTTTGGACTCTCATTAGAGTAAAAGCCATGTTAGTACTCTAGATCCAGATACAGTGCTTAATCACAAGTGGCTTTACTAGTTGTGCGTGTGATTTCAGTAGTGTTGTAACTTGCTTAAGCAGTACAAAGGAAAAGGCTTAACAAATCAATGTATGAGCTCTTGCATTAGGGAAAGCCCATGTCTGTGTTTTTGACTTAAAAGAATTTTTAATCAGATGTTTCTGTAATTGGATCCAGTCATCTCTTGGGATAAAATTTCTCTGTTTGAGAAGCTGTTTGCACTGCTTCCCGTTTGGTCTTCCTCTGGTAGAGGCAGAAAGTTGACCCATCTGCATGAAGGGTCCATTTAATGTGTATAAGCTGTTCTTTATTCATCGGGTTTTGTGGGGGGTTTTTTTGTAATTTACATGCTTGGTCTCTGTGTCAGATACAAAGACGGTTGAAGCCAGTTGTGTTTGCTTTATCTCTCAGTATTAAGAACAAAAAAGTGACACAGTTGTGAGAATGAATTCATAAAAATGATTATATTCCTAAAGCAGATGTTACTAATCTAGAGTGACTAATAGGTGTGTTTGTATCAGGAGGCATGATCTGATATCTGTACGTTACTTCAGATATTGGGCAAAAGCTGTATTCTAACTGCAAAGTGTTTGTTTTTAATTGGATATTACTTTGCTAACCTCTCTGCTACTTTTGCTAAATTGTTTTTATGATTTGATTGACTAAGATAGGTTTTTAGCATGTATATGTAGAATCTGTGAAACAGCATTAAAACGTGACTTCTAGTAGTAAACCACTTCTCTATTGCCTGATTTTAAAAGTAGAACAGCAACATTTTAGAGAGATGAGTTCACAATAACTTGGGGTCCATTAAAGGCTGCTACAGGTGGATCCCAGGAGAGTGTCACCCTAAAGATTATGAATTTTCAGGCCTCACTGTTTCCATATCAGCTTTCCTAGGTACCAGGCTATGTGTAATTGAGATTGGAAGTTCATGGAAATGGGCATATGTTTTATTAACCAAAAAGCGGTAAGCTTCATGCAAAATCTCAAGACTCTTGCTGCAGCAGTGCCCTGTCTCTCATTTGTGAATTAGGCTGTGATGCCATTGGGCTTGTCACCAGGGACACCTTCCTCTCTGAGCACCGTGTTCAGAGCCCGCGCTTGCTGAAGGGATCAGTTGATCAAGTGTCACATACCTGCCTGACTCTAAGAGGTGACTTCGCTTGTGGTGTTGGATTTAGGTGGAAACAGTATATGAATGGAAAATCTTTTTGCCTCGCGGCTTTGGTACAGAGCCCTGGCCTGGGTCACACCAGTTTAAGACCTCGTACACCTTAGCTGGGCACTTCCCTGCAAGCGGGATCCTTGAGGGTCTTCAGTCAAACTGCTCGGCTGTAGTGAAGAAGATGGTTCAATTAGGAAACATGAAAAGGGAATCAAATCTAGCCTTTATACTGCGCAAGCTAAACTAGATAGGGTTTAGTATCAGAGGAGAGAATACACAGAGATACTCTTAGTTTCTGTGTTGTCAGTAGCTCAGCTCATTGTACTGTTCAGTATCTGCTTTTTCTCCAGAACCAGCTGCTGTTCCATACTGCAATTATGGTCCTCTACCACCCTCAGAGTCCAGAAATAAGATTAGTGGGCATTAGCTATGGAAGTCATATGCTATACTCTCATATTAAACTGTGTTTACCTCAGGATAAACCTTTGTCTGGGTATTCTGTCTCGACTAGCACACAGCACATCTGTCCTACTCTGTCTGGTCATTTCTTATTCAATATTTTTGGGACTACTCTGTCCTCTTTGGAAGCATCTCCTTTGGTTTTGTCTGCAGGCATTTCAGATTAAAATTTGAAATGCATGCTTTTGCAATTCCGTATTTAAGACTCATTTCTTTCAGCTTCTTCAGGGTGTCTGTCATTTCTGTCCAAAATTTGACTCTCTTTTGCCTGAATCCAATATTCTCTTTAAGTTTTAAATTCAAAGCAACCAGTTCTTCAGTCATGGTTCCTTGCACTGTTCCTCCATAATTGCATGTGATGTAAAGTACAGATGCTGAACTCATGGAACTTCTTGCAGATATGCTTTCTCTGAAGAAAAGTCTGAAAAACTTGGGGCTGTAATTTAGACAGGAGGGTTTGTGAGGATAAATTCCTCGCATCGATTCTTTTTTTCCCCTCTTAAAAAGCATATGGGTGAGAAACACTCCGTGAAACTAAAAGTGAGGATTCAAACAACTGTGTTTTGTTTGTGCCTTTCTCATAAAACCCGCATCGGGCAACCAGGGGACAGTATTTTGCAAAGGGGCTTGTGCTAGAGAAAGCTGCTGTATAAGGCTGCTCATTGTTTGAAATTAAGCGAATTTGTTTCCAAAACCCTGAAGACTGAACAAAGGAAGCAACAGGCTTTCCAGTATTGCTGCCTTCCAGTATGTTGGGTTTTCTGTTTGGGTGCGGCTAGAAATTATATTGCTAGTTATGAATATGTATTACATTACAGTTGTATTGAGTTCAGTGATTAGGCGCGGTTTAGCATTGTTTTAAATGCTGTAAATGGTGCTTCTTGGTTTTGTGGGGAGCTGAAGTATTTGTGTGTCTGTCTGTTGGGATTTCATCTCCATTAAACCAGAACATTTAAGTGCATATAGTCACAATTTATGCTAGCGCTGTCCCTTGTGCCTGTAGTGTGAGACAGGGGGCTTAAGGTGCTGCTACTGACCCGACTACACCAGCTGGAGAGCGAGTTTTCCCCAGAATACTCCTAAATCCTCTGACAGGCTAGGCAAAAAGTCCTCCACTTGCTGCAATACGCAGGTGCGTACGAGCATACCCTGTTTTCACGGGGTACAGCCGAGCATCGGAGAGCCAGCGTAAAGCAGCGGAGCGCGGCTTTGCTTCGTGACATGACTTGTGCTATCACTAAAGTCGTTTCATTTTTGTCTTTGCCAGGTGTGGCTTTTATAGATGGACCAAATGTGTGGCCACTGGTGAGAATCTATCGAGGTGGCTTTCTCCTGATAGAATTCCTCTTTCTCCTGGGTATCAACACATATGGCTGGAGACAGGCTGGAGTGAATCACGTCCTCATCTTCGAACTCAATCCCCGCAGCAACTTGTCCCATCAACATCTCTTTGAGGTAAACAGAATAGACTGTAGGAGTGGTTGAGCTGTGCAGTATATCGGGAGGATAAATCCTGCACTGTTTCCTGGCAAGGAGTTTTAACACAATTAGAAGAGGAAGTTGCTGAAGTCTGATTAGATTACAGGATTGAGCACTGCTCTCCCTTTTCTTATAATGAGAATTCATTGTAGGTTTCGGGGCTGTATTTTCATAAGGTGTGTTTTCATCTGTGTGTTTTTTCTATCTTTCTGTAGATTGCTGGTTTCCTGGGCGTTTTGTGGTGCCTGAGCCTCCTGGCATGTATATATGGTAAATTCACCTACATCCCTATGCAGGTGAATCCACTCATCTTGTATGGCTTCATGTTGCTTTTTCTCATCAACCCTACCAAAACCTTATATTACAAGTCCCGTTTTTGGCTGCTCAAACTATTGGTAAGTCTCGAACCTGATTTAAATAAATAAATTTTTAAAAATGCTGTAGCTGGGCAGTAGCAGTTAAGTATGTACAGGCATCACTAATCTTCAGGAAAGAGGGATGCTTATACCACTGTATAAGTGGTATTCATAGAGCAGACCTGATAAGGAATTGACTGCAAATGATTGTTGAGCATGGGTTTACAGAAGCAACTTCTGCTTGTCTGCACCAATCTATCATTCGTATTGCAGGTAGCTGCTTGTTAATCTTCCTATAAACAGCTGTTTACATACTTTTGCACATACAGAAACACTCAGATGTCTTTGCTTGTTTGTTCTTGAATGTAGTGGAACAGTTTGATTAGGCTGCATGGATGCTCCTCAGCCCAAACTGGGAGAGTGCCAACATTGAGAGGGTTCATTGATGGAGAGGGAACCTTTGCAAAGGTTACTGCTTATGAAATTATGTTCATAGGTGGGTTTTTTTTCTCAGCAAATCTTTTTGTGGTCTTAAGCAGAACTATTTATTTTTGACCCCACTCCTCTTTTCCTGGTAAGATAAATCTGGTAAATTGAATGTAAATATGTGTGCTACTTCAGTGTTCCAGCTATAGGTGGGAGCTCCAAAAGAAGAGTTTTCAAACTTGTTGGATGGCTCATCAGTTTCTTTCCAAATGGCTGCTTCACATGTTCATCTCTACCCTGTATTGACTTTTAAATTGACTTTAATCAAGTTGGTTCCCTTGATACCTTATTCTTGCTGGAACTGCTCTGAGAGCATTGGGCAGAAGAGGGTTTGGCTGGCTGATGTTATTCGTAGAATCATTCTAATGCCGATTAAAACAATTAGCTTTATCTGGAACATGACAAAGATGAAATGTAGAATCGTGCTTCAAGCGTGTGCGTGCAGGTATGCACACAGCTAGTTAACTTCTGTGTGCTTACCTCTGTTATTTGATTTGCTAGCTTACTACTATTTCAGTTTCTTCCTTTTTTGTCTTCCAGCATTCAGCCATCTCTCATAGATGTATCTTTAGTCCCAAGCCTCATTAGTCTTACTGCAGTCCTTTGGTGCTAGGGGAAGCATTGGAAGTGCTCTAACCATGTGAGCAGTATCTGTGCTAATTTACCTTAATGTCTTAACAGAGTAAGATTCTCAGTCTTCACAGACCTCTTAGTTTCCAGTACCTGCTCTATCCCAGCTATCTCTAGACTACACTACAGTCTGCGATACAGACATATCTTCGAGCATGCACAGGCCAATTCATCCCAAGGTCTCCTGGGGAAAAAAGCTTCATCAAAATGCAAGATCACCTTAATGGTGGAAAATGACACAGTACATCTGACTGTGTGTTATGTGGAAGGGGGAAGGGGAAAAAAGAGGCCAGACAAACCACATAAAGAGTAACTGTTAGGCTTTTCTAATTTTTATCGTATGTAATTGGCCGGCTGGGTGTATTTTATTTCTCCGTGCAGTCGCCAGCAGCTATCTGGGTGAAAGGAGGTTTAAACAGCACAATTCTTAGAACTGTGCTGCTCACACAAATTTTGATTTGGTGAGCGTTTTTCTTCACATGCTTGATATGTTTCATTTCCAGCCAAAATGAAGTCTGATATATCGGGTGTAGTAGAGCATTACTGGCACCTTCAATTTTTTTAGAACCAAATCGGGAGCGTACTTCAGTGTGTTTTAGCATTTCCTGATGGATCTAGGCTTACTGCATCCATTTGTGATCATCACCAACTGCTTGTTGGCACTCATGAGTGGGATCTCTTTTGATAATCCCTGAGGGACTGTAAGTTGCACCTGAATTGATCTTCCTCTGAATGAAGAAAGTTATTTAGCCTGTAGTAAGTTTAATTCCCATGCCAGACTCTTCTTTCTCGCCTACATGGGGTTCTTCCTTGCCCCATCGCTGCCGGATGAGAAGCCCACGAGTGCACTTGTGTAGGCAGAGGAGAGCAGCTCGCCAGGAGGAATCGGATCCGAGCACAGGGGATAGCACAGCGTCTGCATGCCCACGCTCTCTGCAGGGCACCGCAATGGCGAAACAACTGCACGGAGCCTGTCTGTGAGAGGTGAAAATCTAGGAAGTGTTTAGCTCCAGCTCAAATATCTACTGTCTCAGCACTTACTAAAACTGCGGTAATCAGCACCAGGAAGTCTGTGCTTGGATTGTGGAACTGTTGATATATAATTGCAACCGATTACTTGAACCTGAGGTTCAACTCCAGCTTTTGGTTTTTTATGACTTTATTCTTGCGGTCCATCTTCACTGGAGGATGTTGCAGACCCTTCTCAGCTGGGAGGTGAGGAGTTGCCAGCGGTACCTGCCAGCAGGCAGTGCCCTCCGCCAGCACCCTCTGGTAGCTGGGCTGCAGCTCCAGCTGCGCCTGGGCAGCGTGCGGCAGCAGTCGGAAACCACAGAGCCTGACTTGTGGGGTTAGGAGGGTTCAAACGGCAGCTCAGGTTCTTTAGGGCAGTTGACTGAGACACTGGTGCCTTAGCTAGGTTGTGGACATATCTGCTGACTTCTTGTCTGCTGTAACCTTTAGGAGGAAAGCTTCTACTCTTTTAAAAGTTTTATGCTGTCATCTGGCAGCGCCTAAGTGTCTCTCCCTAAATTAAATAACAACATTTCCTCTTTTTTCAGGGACATCTATCTGTAAAGCTGTTTTCACATTTCTTTTGGTTTAGTTAGTCTTTGTTTCCAGAAAAAAAAGGTCTATGATGAAACAGGTAAAGATAGTATCAGGGAGTGTTGGTAAAATGGAGGAAAGACCTTTTGAAAAGGAAGGGTGGTGTGGCTTCTCTGACCTCTGCAGAAGCTGTTCTGCAGCTGGACTGCTTTGACCGAGGACAGACCTCCCTAACGGCTGGCCCTGTTCGAGCCTTTGTAATAGGTGCTGTCCTATGTGAGCACAGTGCTTTCTGGGTCAAGATCCATATCTGCTGTTTAATGCCACTAAGTCTTAATCCCCTATTTGGCTTTGAAATTTAGGACCAGAGCTTTAAATTGGCATTACAAGCTGATGGGAATGTGTCAGTCCTTTCCCGAGTTTCTGTAACCGCGTACCCCTTAGGTTAATAAGGAGAGCAATATAAAAGATCAGTGTTAGCCTGTGCTTTCATTAATTTAAAGGTCCATAAATCTCTGAACTACAGGATGGTGCTGGTGCTGTCTCTTTGAGAAATTGGCTGTTAGTACCTATAACTAACTGCGTAGAGAGAGTTGTAATCAAAGGTAATGGACCATGAAAACTGTCTGGTTTGAAAGTATCAAAACTGCTGTTAAGGCTTAGAGGGAAAGTGGACTGGGATTGAGAGGGAGTCTAATTGACAGTCAATAGGATTTCCTCTGCCCTTTCTTTTGCTAAAGGGCTTGGGAGATACAGCAGTAACAATCTTCACTCTTACAACTTCTAACACCAAAGACCAGCTAATGCGTTAAGTAAACCAAGCTAGCGTCAGACTAATGGCCATGCTGAGGGTCTGTAATCTAAATAACGTTAAGTGTGAGGGAGGAGGTAAGTGTGGAAGATGTCAATAGACATGACATAAATGCCTGAAAGAAAGCGCTGATCAAACTGAGGAGCAACAGGAAAAGCAGAGCTTGTATAGCTTTTACACGGAGACTGGGAGTTTCTGGGAAAGAGCTTGGTTGGAAGAGACTGGGCTCTTCTGCCAGTAAAACACCAGAGAGGGTGGGGGACTTGAATAGTTGCATA